GATGAAATTTTTTCATAGTAAAAAACAAACAAACAGTTCAGTTTTCATTTTATAAAACTGTAAAGAATTCAAAAGTAATGATGTTATAGGCATCTTATCAATAAGGCATCAGAAAGCTGAGGTTGAAATTTTTGGAGAATTTTTCAGAAAAATGACGGAAATCTAATGACGAATTCTCTTCACTCACATCAAGAAGCCACTCAACAGCCTGCTGTCGGTGTTTGGCCGTAATATGCGTTTGTACACTCAGAAAATAATTGTGATTCACCGACGTCCGATTCTGTGCCGTGAACATACTGTCAACGCATCGGTTGTCCTGAATTCGCAACATTTTGCTTAAAATCATTCGCAACAAAACATTTTCCGATGGATAAATCTCGAAAAACATCCGAATACTTCTTGGCATATGTAAGGTAAATTGACTGCAGCCAGTTATGATGCTCACGATTGCAGTCTACTTAAAAATGATGTTTTCGAATTTTTGGTCTTTGAATTCAACCAATGAAACTATCGGAAGGCATTAATAGTGAGCCATCTTGCAAAAAAGTATTCAAACTGCCCAATCGCTCAACGGAAACAAAACAAAAGCGCAACGACTTTTCAGTCCTTCTAAACATTTTTCTCGTTTGTCCAATTAATCAGTATTAATTGTTGAATTCACCTGATGGATAGTTTTATCGGATAGTGCCAAAACACTGGACCATTGTGCAGTGTTGAGACGATCCGTTGGTGCTGATCGCTTACGATTCACTGGCAACTATAACAGACAATCAAAGTCAGACACAATCCTAAATACTCGATGAGATAAGATGCAATGGACGACAACTGTATCCTACGGATAACTAACTGCATAAGCTCAATCACTCTGCATGAAGCGATAATCATTTCTATGACTGCTGATAAAAACTGAGCAATGGTCAAAGCCGCAAAAATGAAACGACTTAGGATATCCGATATCCGAAGAAGACTGAAGAGCGGATTGACATATTGGTTTCGAATTCTCGAACATAGCTAGCTATGTGTAGAACGATGGGGTTGGATATACAAACCTGTCCGAGGATGAGTCTGCCTTGTTCTTGATGCAGTCGAGACTCATTGGTGATCTTGACGGAACGTCGCCGTGATTGTGTGCTTATTGTGGGAACATTTCCAGTTGAAGATGTATTCATCAGATTTGTTGGCTGTTGATGATTATGAACGTTTTGACGGTTGTTGTTATTGGCGTTCGCGTTTGCGTTCATCGTTGCCATCGATGTAGACGGCGAATCAAAAAGGTGTTCTGCACATCTCAGATTATCCATTGATTAATGAGTTGATTGATTTCTGTGATCAGTTCAAACAGTCTTCGTTGAATACTTCACAAAACGTATCCACGTATGAATACGGTGGGCAATTTTAGTCCAATGAAACGACAAACAGATAGAATGGCAACAGAAGTCCGGCTTCCCGACGCTTCTGAATCTGAATCGAGAGAGCGCCTCTGAAGTCACCAACAACACTAAGAAAACACCGAAACGATTCGGACGGCAACCAAAATCTTCGACTTCAATTGAAGTAATCGAAATCGAAAATTCTCTCAGCTAAACTAGTTGCAATGCCAACACACTGGTGGTTTAGCTGGCGATTGCGGCTCGCTCCTTCCTCGACGACGAACAATAGAATAACACCGAAAGTTGTGTGTTGGTATTTATAACTCGTTCCTTCTGCTGCTTCTTTTTTTGCACCAAACCGAATTACAGTATTAGATCAATGTGAACAGTGATGGAAATATTACGTCGTCTTGATGATTGCAAATTGTGTTTGAAACGCAACCGATGCTGATGATACCGGTGATATTATGGTTGAGTGGTCAAAGTGATTCTCCACAAACGACGTGTCGTTCTCCCGATGAACGGAGCCAAATACCACAAGAAATGGAAGAACCGAGGTTGAGACGAAACAAATCACGGAAATTGATGAGGCTCCTTAGGATCAGGTCAGATCAACTATCGACAACAGCNTGTGTGTTGGTATTTATAACTCGTTCCTTCTGCTGCTTTTTTTTGCACCAAACCGAATTACAGTATTAGATCAATGTGANTTGAGACGAAACAAATCACGGAAATTGATGAGGCTCCTTAGGATCAGGTCAGATCAACTATCGACAACAGCCCTAGTGGTTGATGTTGTCGGTGAATATGCAATAAATATCACGCTTCACTTGAGTTGAACGAGTGCACGGGTAGATTGGTTCTGAAATTTTGCATGAAATCTAAATGAAACACTGAAACGAACAACGAATCCGAATAAATTTTCTGGAATCCGAATAAAATCACGTCTGCAATCGAATGGACGACCATTCACGAAGTATAGCGAATACACAAACATGCACATCGTCGTATCTGGTATGGTTGATTGAAAGGAATTTTGAGAGCATCAATTTTTCAGCACACCAAAAATCGTCCTCTTCCAAACAGAATTGCCATAGTAATGTGGAGAGCAGAAAACACGAAGGAGCACAGAAAACGGTATCTATCGTTACGAAAAACATCATATTTTCATGGGGTTTTTGCATGAGAATTTGCGTAAAAACGCCGCCGCAGCCAACGAACGAAACGCTCGTTGTTCGTTGTCATAACGTGTGGCAGCATAACTTTGATAAGAAAAGCAATCATTTGAGTGAGAAGCGATGGTGATCACTGCTGTGAACGCGAAGAATATGAATGAAATGCTGTTGAAATAAGAATGTAAGTGGAGATGAGATGTCTTATAGCAGATATGAATGAAGGGCACTAATCGCGCGCAAACAATTAACACTTTCAGAAGTTTTTTGCTGACTGTTGACATGAGATAACACAAAAAAAATTTGAAAAAAAACGTCTCTTGACTCATAGTATTCTGCTAATTATGGTAATATAGAATTAGTCAAGTAGGTGGTGAAGTTCAAGCTTCGAGGCTACAGTTCTACAATAATTATAGTAATACAGAATTAGTCAAGTAGGTGGTGAAGTTCAAGCTTTCGGTCTAAAGTTTGACAACTCTGCAGGACATTTGCAATTGTAAATTATTTACGGTGAGACCACAAAATGAACGCCTTACAGAAGTAATTCATTAATAAAATTGTTGCGAGAGCAACGCAATCTTACTATTCGGCGGCGCCATGAGGGTATCCAGCGATAAAAATAATAGGAATAACGATCATACCATAGAAGATAAATGAGCAAAAAGTCAATTTAAGAAATGATAAAGAAAATTCAAATTCCTAATGAAAAAAAGTTGCTGGCTTCACTTATTGAAGTGGTTGGTTGGCTTCACAACATAAACACTGATTAATTTGTTTTGCACTTAATTTTTTGATTTAATGCAGGGTCTCAACTATGTACATTGGAAAACTTGTGAGATATTCTCGTGAAAAAGCTAAACAACAACTCATGTTGACGATATTGAGGATTTAATCAGTCGCACATAATTACCAAGGGTATCCAAACTCCAGTGATAAAAGATACAGATGTAATTGGGATATGCGCAAAACAAGAATATGGAGAAATGTTTAAGAGAAGATACCAATGAAATTGCGGATATCAGTTTAAAAACCCTAAGCCTACATCTCGACTCATAATTCGTTACCATTTCATCTGCCTCGCTCAAAAACAAAACTAAAATAATCGCCTGTCAAACGAATCGCTAACAAACTCGCACTTTTTTCACAAATCGAAAGTATTCAAGTGTAGCGAGTATGAATTCAGTAACTGATAATTATCGTATGTGATGAAAACGAAGTGAGCAACTATGGAACAATATTTGGAACAAATTTTGGAAACTAGAAAATAAATAGATTGACTAAATTACCGTATTAAAATACAGTATCAGTCTGAATCGAGTTGAAAATACAGTATAGCATCCATCAAGAATATCCTTGATAACCGAGGAGAATCGTGATTATTACCATTACCGTAAGGATTGGAAAGCAAGCAGCCAGACCGAGCGAACAACTAACTCTTTAAAATTGAATATTCATTCACGAAATCGCAGTTTTCCGTGAATCTCTTTATCTTCAGTAAACGAGGCAACTTCTGAATAATGCGATAAATATGCGATAAATATCAGTCAGATTGATAATAAGTATGCAATAAGGATAAAGATAATAGAAATGCTGCTGATACGATGAATATTGCACATTGCACTGCACACATCCGCCGCCTGCCGATCAGCAACCGTCTAAGGCCATCCCATCTATCTATCCTCAGTCTAAGATACGAACAATTGCAAACTGTCAATGGGCGTGGCGGCGCAGGCTGGGCGATCGAGTGAAACGGAACGAACGAACGATTGGAGACAGAAAAACGCACCAAGGGGGATGGACCGATCGACGACGACCGGTGGTGGGTCGGACGGACGGTCGGTGGTGCTGATGTGATGCGATGATGGCTGTGAAAATGCAAAATGCACAAGACAGCAACAGCAGCACAACTGTGGCACATTTTCTGAACGAAGACACTAGAAACTGTCGAAGAAACATGAGACCATAGAAACAATTCAATTCAAAGAGACTGGAATCAAGGGCAGATGAAGCGGCGGCCAGCCTTAGTCATCTGATTCGATGAGTTTAGGTAAATTCAAGATTCGATGATACTCAAATCGCGTCGTCCAGCATCGTCCATCATTAACAAATGGCTGAACTTTTTTCAAAATCTCATCATTCATCTCTGAACTCCACCTACTTTGTCAGAGTAATTTCACCACCAGAAATTCACTTCACTCCTCTTATCATGAGCGTTCGATCTCATCTGAACTTTTCAATTTATCCAAACAATCTTTACTTTACTTGACCATTACACCTCTAAAATTTACTCAATCTCATTTCTCAAACCGACGACCTATCACTTCTATCAGTATCGAATCTCTAAATCATCCATCTCATCATCACAAAAACTGACACTGCTGCCACTCAATCATGCAATAAATCGCGCACAATACCATCGTCGTCAACATTATCAAGCCAGCCAAATTACAACACTAAACCGTGGCTGAGTAAACTGACAGTCTATAAATGACACTAAACTGTAAATTAATCTTCCATGAAGGACTGATGATGATTTATTATTAATGATCTATTCGCTATCTATAGAGTGATCTAATCATTTGATATAAGTTCTGCGCGAAGATATAACTCCTCAAAAATTTTAAAATACTTTGCAAAAACTTTTGATCGATGCAAGTGTTTGACCTTAAACACTAACTGTAAATGATCTGCTTATCAAATAATTCACACCATCGCAAATTCTCATCTCCCGCCATCCTACTACTACTTCAACTGACATTAGCTATTGTTACTGGGACACTGTAATCTTAAGGTCATGCAAAGTAAACTGCAAAAACAAATGGTGAAAGTGATATATTAGATAACAACAAAACACTCAGCTCATTCCTTCTTTAATGATCACTTCTCTGAATCAACTTTTACCTATTACTGTAAAACGTTTTAAAAAAGTCGTTTTCTTAGCTGGGAACATAACAGCATAGAACCTCTGCGATATCTCGAAATGATTGGCTTCATTACTTAAAATTTGAAATTTCGAATTTCCGAAAGCTGCTGGATTTCCCGAAATATGAAACAAGTTTATCTTACAATTAGGAAATCGTAAGCAACTGATCTGGCACTCCTCTTAATTCGCACTGAAGTCGCTGGTGATTCCAGTCAAACCAAACACCTAATGAATCCTTCCGAACACAGTCAGCTGAGGATATTCAGCTTATCACTTGGTTCTCACCTTAACCTGACATCAAACTGCAAACCAACTGCTGCTGTTATCCACCAACGAATTGGTTCATTTCAATCTTTCAAGTCTAAAACGTAAAGTTAGTTTCGAACCACCAAAACCACTGCAATCGAAAGCTTCTTCTTCTTCGTGTTGTTGCTGTGTTGAGTCGTTGTGTTTGATAATGATGACATAAAATTTGATGGAATGATTTTTCAAAAAAAAATTTTATTCATACGAACAGTTTGAAACGCGCATTCAAATAAAATCGAAAGAATGTTTCGGCAGTGTGTTCATCAGATCGTTACAAACATACGGTATCGATGGCGCTATTTCGTTGATACTTAATGCCACTAATTCACTTCTATTCACAAATTTATTCAGTATTCCATTTATGAATCTATGTAAGTATATATTCATTTGAGTTTGTTTCATTCAAGAGTAATTAATGATCGACTTAGAGCACTTATGAGTTGTTTCCTTGAATCATCTTGAAGAAATGCAATCTTCCC